AAAAATGGACTTGTCCCAACTTTTTTGGGATTTGTTGACGCCATGAAATTTGGAAACAACAGATTTTTCCCTTAAAATGATACATTCTCTCAGTTTAAACTTTTGTTCTGTGATTTGTGTTCTATTCTGAATAAAATATAAGATGTTGGCACCTCCACACCATTGCATTCAGTTTCTATTCACAATTTGTTTAGTGTCCCAACTTTTTGGAATCCGGTTTGTACATTTTCATCTTTAAATCACTTCTTGGTCTGTTGCCTTCATACATCTCCTCCTACATGTCTCTGTGTGAGTGCAGCTACAGTGTGCGCTCTCAGGACATCATTACCTGCAGTGTTCCCTCAGTGAGGACTGAACTAGACAAAAGGACCTTTTCCTACTCCGCTCCCGTTTCCTGCAATATCTTGTAAAAAGATCTGAAGCTCTCGACCTTGACCTCTCTAAGTGGCTTTAAACATCTTTTATGTTCCTGCAGACATGTTCCTGTTATTAGTTTTCTACACCACCTTATAATCTAACCGTTTCTTCACTACTTTTCCTTTTCATTATCCTTTTAATTACCATTTTATTTTCAATTACCATTTTATTTTCACTTGTTAAAAAAAATTAATTTGTATGTATCCTTTATGATTGTTTATTGTTGTCGCTGTTGTCATCATTCTTTGCTAAAATCAAGTCTCTCTTGTAAATGAGTCCCGAGGCTCAGTGGGATTAACCTGTAGAAATAAAGGTTGAATGATAAAAAACAAAAAACAAAAAAAAAAAACAAGTAATTTAGCTAAAAATGAGCCACTACCAGAAGACAGTTGCTATAGTATCAAGATGGACAGCTTCGCGGTAACATGAGAAATATCAGATTTTCCTCCTCCTCAACAAGCCTCTTTTTCACTTTCTGATACACTGCTGAGAAAAAAACAAAACAAAACAATCTGTCCTGAAATCACTTTTTGTTGTTTATATTGCAAAATCTGTGCCCTAAAAAGTTAATGTTTCGGGTTCTAAAGAGGGGAAGCTACAGTGGTGCTTAAAAGTTTGTGAACTCTTTATAATTTTCTATATTTCTGCATAAATATGACTTAAAACATCATCAGATTTTCACACAAGTCCTAAAAGTAGATAAAGAGAACCCAGTTAAACAAATGACAAAAATATTATACTTGGTGGGAGGGAGGTCAGTATATATTAATGAATGAGGTCAAATATTTTGACTTTTTGTTCATAAAGCTTGACATCATTTTAAAAGCTTACCTCTGAAGCCACCTCACAGTCTGGCCGGCCATCACTATCCTTCAGCTCCACATAAGGCTTCTCATGAACCCTGTTTAGATCTTCATGAAGGCCATCAAGGAGGAAGGCCAACAGCTCCTGAGAGTCCTGCTGCTGGAAGCCATTGAAGCGCGGAGCATACTTTGCTATTGTCCACTGGAAAGGAAACAGTGATACTATAAACTTTAATCTTGAACACAAAATGCTAACCACTAACAAAAAGAAGGTTTTAACACAGGGGTGCCTGGACTTTTTCAGCCTGCGAGCTCATTTAAAATGACCAAGTAAAAGTGATCTACCTACTATAAGGCACCGTTTACATAGAATAGAATAGAATAGAATAGAATAGAATAGATAAGAATAGAATAGATAAGAATAGAATAGAAACAGCCTTTATTGTCCCACGGATGGGAAATTCCAGTGTATCAGCAGCAACAGCAGCAACAGATAAAAATATCAAAAGATTTCACACAAAAGTTCCTAAAATGTTAAAAATACAATATATAAGAAATAAGATAAACAATATCAATAATAATGTTCAATATGTATTGGAACATTGATAAGGACAGACTATTGACAGCACAGTGTTACAGGCAGAGTGTGTGTTTCAGCAGAGGTCAGCATGTATTTAATCCTTGTTGAGTTTGTTGGAGCAGTGATGGTTGTAGAGTCTAACAGCTGCTGGGAGGAAGGACCTGCTGGAGGAAGGACCTGCGGTGACGCTCCTGCATTTAGGAGCAGGAACCTGTCACTGAACGAGCTCTCCAGTTCAGCAGCAGCTTCATGGGGTGGAGACGTTGTCCAGCAATGATGTTATTTTAGCTGGAGTCCTTCTGTCTCCCATCACCTGCACTGGGTCGAGGGGGCGTCATGAGAACATGAGAACATTATCCCAGTTCCAAAAGAGCTCTTCAGTGACTGGTCTTAATGACTATCGGTCGATAGCCCCAATAGTTGCTGAATGTTGTGAAAAACTGGTCATGACCTACATCAAAGCTAACATGAACATCAACGAGGACTGATCTAAAGAAGACGCTATCTCCTCTGTAGTCCACACTGCTCTCACCCACCTGGAGCAGAAGGACTCCTACATCCGTATGCTCTTTAGGCGTGTCCCAATCCAATGGCTGCATCCTTCGAAGGCTGCATTTGAAGGCCGCTTACATCACAAAGACGCGCCAAGGCCTGTCCCAGTTCGAAGACTCCTTCAATGCAACCCATAAATGCGGCCTCCTTTCCCTCAATTTGAAGGCCAGGTCCCGTGTATCCTTCGCGGTCCACCCTATCCCATGATGCAATGTGGGCACACAGAAAATTCTGGACGTAATGGCAGACGAAGTAGCGACGGAGTAAACTTTTAAATGTTAGTATGTTAAAATGTGGGATTAAAAAATTAAAAGCCTAAAGCGGTTATGATTTAAAGCAGATGATAGGCTTTTGTCATTTGTGTAGACATTTTATTTTTTTGTATTTTTTTGTCAGAGATCAGCTCGTACAGTGCGTCCCGTAGTACTTTTGCCGCTAAGCTAATATATATTTTTTTTAGGGAGCAAGGAGCAGACCGAAGCTTTTATTAAGCTTCTGAATGAGAACAAACGCATTTTCACGAGTGCAACACTCTGCAGCTGCGGCGTGGAGGTACAAGGATGAATCCATTTATTCGTCTTATGCTTCAGAGTACAGTTTCATTAACCCTCATAAATAACTTGCGATCTTAATGAAGTATTGGTCCTTTTGTGTTGTTCTGTGAAAACTGTAGTTTTCAATGTGGGTTTAAGACATTTTCCATGTTTCCCCTCTTCATTCATTTTATGTTGATGTTTACTTTATGTTGATGTTATTTGGATAATTTTGGAGAAGATGGGCCTGCAGGGAAAGTAACTCTTTTGCAGGCAAAAAAGAAATGGGACAACCTAAAAAATAAATACAAAGTATGTGCATGTGTAATGAAGAATATAATTTGTACGTGCAGCTGTTAATACATGTAAAGTTTAAAAAAAATGTTTGTTGCTCTGTTTGTCAACTGTGATGTTTCCTGTGTTCAGGACTGCAAATATCCAGGCAGGTCAGGAGAAGGAGTTAGTGAGAAGCTGCTGCTGCAACTTGGTCCTGGTTTGTCCTCATGGACCAGGTTTTAGGACAGAGAAATTCCACTGCACCTCATGTCCTAACTGTCTCCATCACTGAGGACAGTCCAGGTCCAAGAGCAGCAGTGGGTGACCAGGAAGACAGGGCTGAGGAACAAAGAGGAACGGAGACGCTGAAGAAAGCGGCATCAGGACAGAGAGGATGATTTATTTATTTCAATTAATCAGAAGATATGAAGCAGCAGAGAGAAGAGCAAATATAAGTATGGAGAGAATGGAGAGGCTTTTCACAATTCTCAAAACAACTGCAAATAAATTAATTGATGGTTGTTTTTTTATGTTCTTAAAAAATGTGTTTTTTTGTTTGAAATTTGAAAAATAAAGTGATTAAAAAACTAGTATTGTCAATAATTCATTTTATTAACAACAAGTTAATTCAAAACAACAATAAAATGCTCTGTGGCGTGCCAGCCCTGCAAACCCACGAGACACCACCTCCAGGTCCTTTGAGTTTTCAGGCAGGTGGATGACCTGGTGGTGAATGGACACTTCTTCTGTCATGATGGACGATGCAGTGGACAGTAGAATGAGGCGTCACAAACACTCCTGAGACCACCCTGCAGGATGCTCCACCTGTCAGCCAGAAAAGAAACACCAGGGTCTCAGTTGTGGCCCCACAATCATGTCGTGGATCCAGGTCCAGGAGATGAAGCAACACTTCCGGAGACTCCCTGCTTCATCAGAAATCTGGTCCAGGATCTTCTTGGTTAAAGTAACGGTCCAGGACTGGGACACTCAGGTTCATCCTGCAGTACCAGGGTCTGGTCTGGTTCAGGAAATGTAGAGAACACCACAAACATTATTAGTTTAAGATTTAATTTTTCATAAGATATCAAAGCATTATCACAATTATGAGGCTTAAGGTAAATACTCAGTGATGCTCAGTGAAAACACTATTTTACTCATGAAATAAAATAAATGAAAGATTGTTTTTAACATTTTTACAGCCATTTTATGTACCAAAGGATCTTATAAAATAAAATACTGGAAAATGTTATGCTGTATTCTAAATTTAACATAGTTAAAGATTATAATATATTAAATTTTATTAAATTATTAATAATTTAATAAGATCAATTTAGATTTGATTTATTATGCACAAGTTAATAAAATTAATACATTAGTCTGTCAGTCACTGAAATTATCCATGAAATTAGCTGAAGTTAACAGTTATTCCTTGAAAGTTTGTAGACTAAAAAAAAGGTAAGTTACCTGGATAGGATTGTCTCTCAGCAGAAGATACAAAACATGCCGCCAGCTGCGATAAAGTTCATGTATTTCCTCAAGAATTAAAAACGCAGTAAAAACAACAAAATTTTGATCTCCATTCTTTCTTCGGCTGAGCGCTGTCACAGTTGCTAGTAGGGGTGCACCGATAAATCGGCCGGCCGATCGATCGGCCCCGATTTCCTTAATTTGGGGAGATCGGCGATCGGCCGATCTTTAAATGAGAAGCCGATTTTATCCACCGATCTTATCTGCCTCCGGAAAGGTCTGAAAATCAGCTGCTGTCCCCTTTTGCTCCACTGTGAGAGCTCACACACAGGTCACTCGGAGCAGCCATGTCGTCGGTTTGGAAGTTCTACGCTGTAAAAGAAAATGAGCCAAAGATCGCAATTTGCAATTCGTGTAAAGCCGAAGTAAGTCGTGGTGGAGCCACCACCAAAACCTTTAATACAACAAACCTCGTTCGCCATTTAAGAAATCACCACGCCGCCAAGTATGCAATGTTTGAAGAGAGCAACCAAGCTAAGGCTAATGCTAAAGCTAGCGCTAACAAAGAGGCAGTCGGTGGGTCGCTGTTAGCTTTTATGAGCAACGAAAAGAGCAAAGCTACCACGAGGAAAGTGATGGAGTTCATGGCATTAGACAACCAGCCATTTTCAGTCGTTGAGGACAAAGGTTTTAGAAGCTTGATGCAGCACGTGTGCCCACGATATAATATGCCGAGTCGGAAATATTTTTCTGATGTTGCATTACCGGAGTTGTTCAGCCAAGTTTCGAGAGACACCCGCAGCCTGCTAAAAGCTAATACAAATACACTCAGCTTTACAACAGACATCTGGACTTCTGATGTAAGTTTAATGTCCATGTTAAGTTTTACTGCACAGTGGATTGACGAACAGTTCGAACGTCATCAATTACTCTTAAACTGTAAAGAAATGGCAGGGTCTCACACTGCGGCCAATTTATCAGCAGAGTTTAAGGCGATGCTGAATCACTGGGAAATCGATCATGGAAGAGTTCACGTTGTTTTACGGGATAATGCTCGTAATATGGCCAAAGCGCTGGATGATATCAACCTGAAAAGTTTACCCTGCCTGGCACACACACTGCAACTGGTTGTAAATGAGGGACAGCTGGCGCAGCGCAGCATCACAGACATGGTGGCAACAGGAAGGAGAATTGTTGGACATTTTAAGCATTCATCACTTGCCTATTCCCGACTTTATGACATACAGACACAGTTAGGTCAACCCAGGAAACGATTACAGCAAGACGTTTCAACGAGGTGGAGCAGCACAGTCTACATGCTGCAGTCGCTGTTGGAGCAGAGACGTGCTATTGGCGTGTATGCTGCTGAGCACGAGTTACCAGCCACACTCACAGCACACCAGTGGGAGCTACTGGACAATGTGCTCACCATTCTTGCACCTTTTGAGGAACTCACAAAGGAGATTAGCTCATCAACAGCTACAGCAGCAGATGTCATCCCAGCCATCACTGCACTCAAGCGGATTTTGGAGAGGCAAGCGAGCACAGACCGTGGCGTGGGTACAGCCAAAGCTACGCTGCTGGAGGCTGTTGTGAGAAGATTCAGCAACATTGAGCATGAGCCCCTGTACAGCTTGGCCACTGTTCTGGATCCAAGGCAAGTAACTATTAACATTCTATTTTAGCCATAATGACTTTTAGCCTACTGCTATATTTCAACAAACATTTAAATTAAATTAAAAATAAAAATTTATTGATTGAAATGCATTTCTTTATTTACATGCAAGTCATAAA